TATATATATATATATAACAATTCTAAAGATGCTACAATAGTTAAAAACAGTTTGTGTCTTTTCTTTTGAAGTTACCTTCAAAATACATAGCATTATCTTTGAATATAACTCAGTAAAAGTAAATTTTAAGCCTTTGAGGGTAAATACAGCTTTTGGAAAATAGCCAAAAGTCAATAAAAGTCTTTTGGCAGTTTCTGTAGATAACCTAAATACTCAATAGAAGTCTTTTGGTAGTTTACGTAGATAACCAAACTGTGGACAGGACCAATTTTGTCCAAAATGGACTGTAAACATAAATTATTCAAACTATTAACAACAGTTATTGAATACCTATTATATGACAAACTGTGTTAGGTGCTAGATATACTTGATCCATAAACTCATGGAGATTATCAATTAGTGACAAAACATAATAAACCAGTGAACATAGTAAAATAATCACAAATTGTGGCAAGTCCTATAAAGGAAAACAGCAGAGTAGTATGAGATAAAACAAAATTTTGATTTTGAGGACCACAGTTAAGAAAGGGGGCTCTTAAAGTTGAAAACTCAATGGTGCAGTGTTAGTCAAGCAAGGAGTAGAAAAGTAGAACACTCCAGATATACAATCAATGTGAAGATCCCAAGGCAAGGAAAGAGTTTAATAATTGAGGCTAGTGGTCTATGTAAGATTCTTTATCTAGTTAGCATTTCCTGTCTTAAGGAAACCTGTAATAACTTTTAAGGTGTATACAGAAGGTCCTCATTACCTGAGTTGCTAAAATGTGAAGACATTTATCAATGAACTGAACATTTAAAAATTCAGTTCCCCACTCAAGCTTTGCCATTTAGCAGTAGCACCTGTCCTACACATGGATTCAAAACACAATTAAGTATATGTGCTGTCAATGAGAATGACACTGAAGAGCAGCTCATATGAGTTAAAAACACTGGCAGAAGAGAATCTGTACAAATTAAGCCCATTACAATTGAAGATAACAAAATCAATAAATATGGTAACATAATACTTGTTTCAAAAGAATGCTGTGAAAAATCAAAGCACTAAGATAGGTGCTTGGGAAAATGATGAAGCTCTGGAATAGTTTGCTATGATGACTTCTTTATAATCATGCTGGGAACAAATACTTTTAGGTGAAAGGCATCATAATTTTGTTGGAAAAGTTGAACAAAAAAATAACAAAACAATATTTGAGTTTTTTCCATTCTAAAAATTAGCCTGAGTTGTTGGGAACAAATACTTTTAGGTGAAAGGCATCATAATTTTGTTGGAAAAGTTGAACAAAAAAAAAAACAAAACAATATTTGAGTTTTTTCCATTCTAAAAATTAGCCTGAGTTGTACTAAAACTTTAATGTTATTAAATGTAAGAAATCTACCTGTATAACTTTCAGTTTCTTATTGTAGAAATTGATAGCTCTAAAATCCCTTTTCAACTTCAACTTCAGTACTTGAAATGTCTTTTTTCATAAACCGATGATTTTTAGATAACGAGAAATTACTATATTTTGAATGACAGTTCTATTTGAATGTTCAAGTCTAAATATAATCATATCACGATCAGTTACTTATTCATCATACCTTGTCTGTACTCTTTCCTCTGAACATGTCCAATCCTGCTACCAGAAATGAATGGAGTTCTGGGTTTCCATACAATTTAACAATCATGAACTGACTATAATTTATACTGTTATTCTCAAGGAAGGAGATGATGGTCAATTAAAAAATTAAAAATTAGGCAGGGTCTACTGTTCAGAGCTCTTGCATTCTTACATATACCAAATTTAGAACAGATCCAGCCCTAGATGGGTTCCTTTTTTGTTGGACGCAAATCAAGCTATCTGCTGACATAGTCATGAAGCACTTTACACTAAGCCATACTGAGGGCTCCAAATGTAGTACAGTGTAACTAGCATTGCATCTTTATCCCAACAGTCCTTTCACAAAACTTTTTCCATAAAATAAACCATATAGTCAGTGAGATTTTAGAACGTGAAACTGTGAAGCAGGAATAGGCAAGTGAAACACTTCTTAAAAAAAAATGGTGCTTAATTCTTATAGATCCAAAAATTTAATTTAGTTCATTCCTAAACATGACAAAAGTTACCGAAAACTGGAAAACAATTTATACTGCAAATAGGAGACAACCAAAATATCACCATCATAATCCCTCCAAAGTGTATAAACATCAAAGAGGAAACATCAAAGAACATTTAATTCTTACTTCTCTAGCATCCATCACTGTCCCAACACCAACAGTTAGAGCCATTGTTGGCACTTTTGATAAATCTCCATCAAAATATTTAGCATTTGCCAAAATGGTGTCCATTGCTAGAGTCTTTAATCTTGTCCTTGACACTAAACTGGATCCTGGCTCATTGAAAGCGATATGACCATCCGGACCAATTCCTTTCAAAAGAAATACACATAGACACATACACATAAAGTAAACAAGGTTTCTCACATAAAGTAAACAAAGTTTCTCGAAGTTCAGCATGGTTTTAAGAGCAAAGAAATAATCATAACATACTTACCTTGTTTAATTTTATAGCTGAATTCCTAATACTGGATTAAAATATTTGTTTTTGTATTTGATTCAACATATATTTCCATGTTTTCTACATGCTCAGCATTGAACTGGCATGATTCTAATAATAGTAAAATTAAGTATCACCTTATATTAGTATAACACTTTACAGTTTATAAAGCACTTTCACACGCATTATCACAACAGATAT